TTAGGGAGCTGGATATCTTTAGCTTGGAGAAGAGAAGAATAAGGGGTGACATGATAGCCCTGTTTAAATATTTGAAGGGATGTCATACTAAAGATGGAGAAAGTTTGCTTTCTGCTGCTTTTGAGAGTAGGACACGGAGCAGTGGATTCAAGGTATAGGAAAAGAGATTCCACCTCAACATTAGGAGGAATTTCCTGACAGTAATAAGAGCTGTTCGACAGTGGAAGATGCTCCCATAGAGAGTGATGGAGTCTCCTTCTTTGGAAGTCTTTAAACCGAGGCTGGTTGACCATCTGTGGCGAGTGCTTTGAATGTGTATTCCTGTATGGCAGAATGGGGTTGGATTGGATGGCCTTTGAGGTCTCTTCTAACTCTGTGATTCTATGATTCTACATAACCACATTGTAGGATGGCTATCAGGCTATGTATTTTCCTCTTGTCTTGAAATGCCATCTGTTACAGTGGAGAGCTGCAGTTGCACAGTATTGATATTCAGCAGAAGAGTGCTACAGTGCAACCACTGTATACATACCGTCCAACCTTTCACAGATGAAAGCTGAGGCATATGTGGCCAAGCACATGCCTCAATAACACATGCCTGGTCAAGCTGGCAAAAGTTATTCATGAGAAAGAACAGACAAGCAAAAGAGGCTGCAGCAGTTTGCTTTTGCCTGAGCCTTCTGCGTAGGGCAGGATCTAGTCATCCCCACTCCTCTTCTTCCTGCTAAGTTAATGGAGTGCAAACTACTGTTGCACTTTGAGCTCAGTTTGCAGCAACTGAAGCTGACGAAAAAGGGGGAAAGTGGGAGGAGGAGAGAAAAACTAGGACATTTTTAAAGCAGCTGGAAATGATATTAATAAATAAAATAACAGAATGCCTGTAAATATCTTGCTTTTCTTCTTAGAAAAAGTGGGCATTTTGTTTCTACTCAGGTGAGAATCTGGTTCTTTAACAGAGGGATTTGTAGGAGGAAGGATATGGGAAATTGGGGACCATTTGTATGGACAAGGAGTCAGCAAAGTGCAGCCCTGGGGTGGCATGTGGCTCCTATGGTTGTTTTGGGGCTCTTGACCTATCCAGATCCCCCACTGATCTTTTTCTTGGAATAAAAAAATCTCAATCATCTCTCCTGGAAGCCTTCAGAAGCAGCCCTTTACTTTTTAAATAGGTGGTGGGGCCTCCCTATGAGAGCCAGCATCGTGTACTGGTTTGAATGTTGGACTACAACTGTGGAGACCAGAGTTCGAGTCCCAGCTCGGCCATGGAAATCCACTGGATGACCTTAGGCAAATCACACACTCTCAGCCTCAGAGGAAGCAAAGGCAAACCCTCTCTAAGCAAATCTTGCCCAGAAAACCCCATGATAGGTTTGCCTTAGGCCAGGGTCACCATAAGTTGGAAGTGATTTGAAGCCACATGGCACACAATTGCAAGTAAAGTTCAAATGGGGTTATAAGGCCACTAGATTGATCACAGGCTGGCATGGCTTCTTTTCCTTCCTGGGGAGCCCAGGGAGTAGACTTCCATTTCCAATTAGCTTGCTACTCTGCTATGAACAAAGACTATGGATGGCTTCATGGCACACACTATAAATTTGTTTCCTCACCACTGGAGGTATCACAAAAGGATTCTTCTCAGAGAGAACTTTCAGCCCAGGGAAACTGACGTTTTGCAAGCAGATTTATTGCTTTCACACATCAATGCTAACTGACCACTGTAAAGACCTGAAAGATGTTTAGCATCTTATGCAGCCCTCTAGGAAAGTTTAGAGCTAGGGTTGTGATTTGCAGCTTTCTGGGTCCCATTACATTCATACAATCATAGAATCATGGAGTTAGAAGAGACGACAAGGGCCATCCAGTCCAACCCCATTCTGCCATGCAGGAACTCAAAATCAAAGTATCCCATCCAGCCTCTGTTTAAAGACGTCCAAAGAAGGAGACTCCACCATTCTCCAAGGGAGTGTGTTCCACTGTCAAACAGCTTTTACTGTCAGGATGTTCTTCCTAATGTTCAGGTGGAATCTTTTTCCCTGTAGCTTGCATCCATTGTTCTGAGTCCTATTCTCTGGAGCA